ATGATCCATGTTTCTCAAACTACGTAGAGAAGTATTTTAATAGGGATGATGTGAGGAGATCATTGCATGTTACAAGTAAAGTTGATTTTAAATGGAAGGTTTGCAAGTTGAGTTTAGTTTCTTTTTAACCGTTTTTACTTTTTATTTTTTTGCATCATAATTTTGAATTACAATGGAGCAGTGAGAAAGAAATGGGGAAAAAATGTTTGGTAAAGATGGAACTCATTTTTCTCTGTTGTCTTCTTTTCTTCCTGTTGATTGATTTCTTTATCTTTTTTCTTTTCTATGACAGTGATTCCATTCTGAATAACTATAACTTCACTGTCTTCTCTGTGCTTCCAATTTACTCCAAACTCATCAAGGCTGGATTAAGAATATGGCTTTACAGGTTTGGATTAAATTTAAATCACAAATCTTATTGATTTAGTTTGCTATTCTATTTTATTTCTTGCTGCTGGAAGAAGATGGACACTTGTCATGCTCCAAATTGAATCGAATATGAGTGAACCAGCCTGCTAATATTAAAAATTTCTTTTTTGGAAATTCACATGCATACCAAACAATTCTTATGTATTTAATACCTAAAATTTGATATTTATATTTATAATACCTTGATGTCATATATCTATTTATAAAAAGATCTATTTCAATTTGAAAAATATTAAAGTTTAGGAACTATAATATATATATATTTGTTGTGGGGAGGGGGGTATATGTATAATTTTCTAATCAAGGCTATTTACCTTAAACTTTATTGCAAAAAGTCGTTCTAATGAAGTTGCTTATTTTAAAATTGTATGGTCCCCATCTACTCTACAAAGGTGGTGTAGTCTTCTCCACATGTTTCCCTATCAATGGAGTATAGCTCTTTCAAGTCCACTTCATCCTTCATATCATTTTGATTTGGTTGCTTTCCACTCCACCACCCAGCTTTATTCGCACGAATCTTTATTATTGTTTGATGCCCATTTAAGAAATAAGTATACCATGATTTTTATTTTCATTAAAGTGCCAAAACAATTTTCTATTTGCATGGACTGTTTGTCTTAAAATTTATAAAAATATTAAAATAAATTTTCTAACTCTTTAAATTGAAATGATTTGAATGACTATCCTAATTTTCTAACACGCATGGCACTCAAAATTTTAATGTTATATAAAAATATAATAGGGTTTAAAATATAAATATTAAATTTGATATATATAAATATATAAAATTTATGTGATATATAAATATTATTAAAATGAAAATAGTTTCATGCATGTGACTCTTTCTTGTCTCTTTTCTCATTCCATCTCTGTGTCTGAACAATTGCAGTGGAGACACAGATGGCAGAGTTCCAGTTATTGGCTCTAGGTATTGTGTTGAGTCTCTAGGGCTGCCTCTTCTTTCCAACTGGCAGCCATGGTACAACTCCCAACAGGTCAAAACCAAAAAAAAAAAAAAATAAATAAATAAAAAATCATAAACTCTTTTTATCATAAAATAAATAAATAAAATAAAATAAGAAAATAAGTAAAGTTTTGAGTTTAAATATGCTGAGTTTGATATGCATATCTTTTGTCCTATTTGCTGGCCTGAAGGTTGGTGGAAGATTTGTGGAGTTTGAAGGTCTGACAATGGCGACAATCAGGGGAGCAGGCCATCTTGTTCCTCTCAACAAGCCTAGAGAGGCTCTGCTGCTCATTAACACTTTCCTTAAGGGACAAAGATTGCCAATTCAAGGTTTAAAGTGATGATTATTGTAAGGATTAGTGCTTATAACATTGTTATTAGTGTTTAGGCTTTTTAAATTACCTGTGTTTTGTTGGGTTTTAATGGTTTGGTTTTATTCAGGGATGCTGAATTTGGCTTTTGGAACGAGGCTAAAGATTCATCGTTTATGTTTATTTTTTTTGTTTTTAATTTTGTTTTGTTTTGTTTACATGTTTAAATATTTTTAAAAAATTTAAAATAGTTTTTAGATTTTTAAAGTATAAATAAACTAATTTATTTTTAAAAATAAGAAATAAAAATATGTAAAAAAAATGTACTAAATAAATATATTTTTAAAATAAAAATAAAAATCAAAGGGATTCCAAAGAAGTTGGAATGATTTATTTATGTGTTTATTTAGATTATTAATTTATTGTAAAATTATTAATAAAATAAAGTCATTTTAAATTATATTAATAAGTTTAAGCTTGTTTTGTCTAGTTTGATTAGGCTAGGAGCCTAACTATACCTAAATTTACCTAATTGGCTTAGATGGCCAATTGCATCCATATGATTAAATTGATTATTTTTAGTGCCTTATTAAAAGTTAATTGGTCAATTATAGCTGAATTAAAAGCAATTGACCCTCCAACAGGCTAATTGATCTATCTAAACATAGTTGACCCAAATTGACCCTTTTAAGTCCATTAGGATAAATTTGACCATTTCAATATAATTAAGCCAAAAAGATCTTTCAAAACTATTCCAATTCAATGCGTTGATTACCTCAACTTGATTAAACCTTGAACAAACTCAATTTCGCTAGTTAGTTTATTTGGCCCAATTTAACCCTGATGAACCTATTGAACTACATTCTCCAATTTAATCAAATTAAATAAAACAAACCATTTCAATTTGTATTCAGCCCTGATTTCATTCTTCCTTTACCCTCCGTTCCATTCATCTACATGAAAAGGAGTTGGGAGAGTTGGAGATTGACTTCAACCTACATATGTCATTTTCTCCCCTCACTCCAACCAAGCCTTTCATCCTCTAGAGCCTCTTAAGTTTGTTTTAGAGGCTTAAATATAGGTTTGTGTGATTAGAAAAAGACTTATAAGATAATATATCTTCCCATTTCCCTTTTTCATTCGTTGAACGATCCAATAACTTATTCTCCATTTCTTCCCTTAGATATTACTTTGATAACACAAGTTTGGTTTAAGAGTTCTATACTTATAAGCTTGCTTGATTTGTTTTTTTTTTTATGATCATGAATTTTTTTTGATAAATTTCAATAATTTGCTTTAAGAATGTTAAGTTGGAAGTTCTAATCATTATACGATAGTATAATGAGTATATGAATTACTTTCCCATCCCAACCCTAGTAATGAGATATAGGTTATGAGTTTGTGATCATGTCATTGAAAAAATTAGGAACTAATACAGAAATGAAATTAACAAATAGGAGCAAAAGTATGTATCGCCACCATCATGCATAATGTTATTGGATGTAAATTTACGTCCGAACTTTAATTAAAAATTGTCATGTGTAAATGCAGTCTCGCTCTTTAAAAAAAAAAAAAAAAAAACATTTTTTCTATCTTCGCGACCCGATCCGAATCCCGTCCACCTTCCATAAAATTATGGAAAATATCAATATCACCAAAATACAATGCCAATAGCACCGTGGAAAATCTCCAATAACACCACCGGAAAACTACGCGACGTTATTGGATTATTACGCGGTATTATTAGACTGTTATTATGGTGTTATTCCAGTATTTTTTTTACTGAAATTATGGCGGCTGTGTTGTGTTAATCTCGAGCGAGTGATTAGATGTACTTTACGATTTTTTCCTGTTTTTGTTAACTAAATACAACGACAGTAATACCGGTTAATACAACATCAATACAACAGTGAAAATTATAATATTTTTAATGTGTAGTAAATGATTTTGAGTGGTATAAATAATTTTTTTTCATGCATGTGCTATTTTCATTTCATTCATAATTCTATCTAAAAGTAACGGTCAGTATTTTTTATTAATAAATCTATCAAATCAAATAAATAGATAAATATAAAAAAATATTTTAATAGGTTATAAATATTAGAAAATATTTATTTATAGCCTATTAAAATATTTCCTTATATTTATTTCCCAAATATTCATTTATTTATAAGGAAATATTATAAAAAATATTTTAATATATTCATTTCATTTTACATCCCGGATTACTTCAAATAACACCACAATAACACTCAAATAACACAACAATAATATTAACAAGTTCCAATTATTATTATTATCAAAATATTAACAAGTTCCAATTATTTAATTAAATAGAAAATAGTGTTTTAATTACCAAAATTAATTTTATATTTTTATTAGACATCTCTGAGTTTAAAAAATTCAGAGAATCAAATTTTGCATTTTTATGATTTTTAAATTTTTTATTATAATTATTTTAATGGAAACATATGAAAAATTAACTTTTAAGCTTTTAAGATTTATCCTATTTAAATCCCCAACTCTCTCTCTCTCTCTCCCTCTCGTACTATCAATTTACATAAATTTTAACGTTCTCATTTACATCACACTTGAATTAGCTATTAATTGACCATATAAATTTATAAAACTTATTTTTAATTATTTTATAATTATTCTTTTTATTTTTTTTTAAATTTTCACTCAATCGTAATTTTAAATAATATTTTCTCACTTACATTACTTTTTAAAATAAGAGATCGAAAATATTTAAACCTATTACATAAAATATCAATGTTTTTTTGTTTTTTTTTTAACATTTAACTTATAAGTACTAATATAAAAGTACTTGCAACTCATTCAATCTTTTAACTAACTCTAAATTTATATAATTAAACAATTGCTCCATTATTATAATTTTTAAATTTCGTTTAATGCCCAGGTTTCAATTTTCATAACAAATGCCAGCAAAATCAGCAGCGACGCAAACAAATGCCTACAAAACCAACGGAGACGCAAGCCAAGCCCAAACTCAATGAGTGTGCTGACCACCACTGAAATCCAAAACCAAAACACAAACATATATATCCAAGCATATTTACATCCCAATACAAAGATAGAAAACATGAGGCATTTACATTTATTCACACAATTCTTAGCTATTTACACATCAACACCTAACTTTCATATTTACATGTATAACACTCAAATTTTTAACATCACGTCAAAAATACAACTATTACTAGAATTTTAAAGATGAAACACCAGGCTTACAATACCAAAATGTTATAAATGCGAATATCAAACTTTCGGTGTTAGATAACTGAATACATAGGGATTGTGCCGCATGGAAGTAAGAAAATAAAAAGTCTAGGAACAAATTGACCATCCGAGATTAAAGTACAGAATCCAGTAACTGAAAACATGGAAGATCCGGAAACTCGAAATGAAGAAAGCAGACCAAACTGATATGCTGCATAAAATAAAGCAGCTACTGCTCAATGGTTTCATCCATCAAATTTCAACAAGTCCAGAATTCTACGGAATCATCCCAAGTAAAACACAAAATAGTATTAAACTCCTGACAGCAATCATAATTCGGATACAATTTCTAATGGCTCTAATTAATACTAAACCTACGGATGCAGTCTTCTCCATCTACACTCCAATGCTTCATGGAGCTGCAGATTGGTGCGCACTCTCCAACCTTTCCTTCATCACTCCTGTGCTTTCAGTGTCCCCAAGCTTCTCATTTGCTACTGTGTTAACCGCCTCAGTCTTAGCACCACCATTGTTAAGTTTCTTCAACTCCATAAAATTCTTGTGTTTCTTTCCAGCAAAGTGATATTCCATCATAATTGCGCTATTACACTTCACCTTGCAGAGGCTGCACCATAACTTCTGTTGCTTCTTTGCAGAGCCGCTGCCCGATGCACCCTGCGATGGCATGCTCACACCAGTCTTCTTGTTCAAATTTAGTGAGGCTTCTTTTGCCTTGTGCTTTTTACCTCGCAGATGCTCTTTTAGGGCTTCTTCACTGTTAGTGGATACCTCACAGAGAGAACAGCCCAATACCTTATCAGCAGGGATCAGAAGTCAGAAGTTCATCTTGAGGCAGGCCATTCTTCTTGTTTGAACTTAGCAAGGCTTCTTTTGCTTTGTGCTTTTTACCGTGTAGATGCACTTTTAGGGCTTCCTCACTGGAAGCAGTTACCTCACAGAGGACACAGCCCCACACTTTCTCCGCGGTGATCAGAAGTTCATCTTGAGCTTTCCGCTTTGGCCCGGATAATTTGCAGGTTGAAATTGTTTTCTGCAAGGAAGATGTGAAATTTCTACACACAACAATTTATAAAAAGCATGTGCATACATACAAAGTTGGCTTGTCACATGAGGTTCTGTAACCAAAAGGAAAGTTTTGATTATTTTTAATTTACTAAAAGAAGCATGATGACATTGAATAAGATGACCATAATGAAAATGAAATGAACATGATGTATGCCTAGAAATACCATTAGCTATAAATAAGTTCAAATATATTTTTCTCTTAATACAGGGGATTAAGGGATCGATAATATACAAGCAAATTCTTTTCCTTGAGCTGGAGAAAAGAAAAATTGTTTAGAAAGTGGAACTTGTTTTAAAAGCGGGAAGAGGCGTTTTTTCATGTTTGCTTAGCTAGCTTGCGAGTAATAAAAGATTAAGCATAACATAAATACTCCAACTGAGATAAAGCCTTTAAAGTCTCGAGCTTTTTTCTTTGAAAATCAAATAGAAAATATGCTCCTTTAACAATTCCGAATAAATTGTCGTACTTGGTCAGAAATTTGAGAGTGCACCCAGGAAGCACAGATAAATGTTAACGCGATATAGAACATTGAAATAAAATGTTAACGTAGAAGGATCAGGAACTCGTGCATATTGTTATGATACTTCGAATGTTAAGGCGATATAGAACATTGAAATAAAATCAAGAACTGTGGTTAATCCGCTCATACAAGCGAAGATACGACATGCCATACAATTAATACTATACATGCCAGTTAAGTCTTAGGATTATGGATGTTGTTTATTGTCAATAATTCTAGAAGAAATCAATTATCAAAGTAGTCAGGTATAATGTGAACTATAATTATTATTTTTAAGCAATTTAGTTTAGAAGGCTTAATCCAGCAAAAGTTATGTGGACTCGAATTTTCCTAGCTCAAGTAGTCAGTAGAATGTGATGCATCTTTGAAAAGAAAGAACAAGCCTCTACCTCAACGTTTACATGGACTAGAACGAGAATACAGACATTTTTCATATGATTTTAGTTTTGAGTTATTTTCACTCGTACAAACTCTAATTGAAAATTCCAACCTTAAGTCTTAATTTACAAGTTAAAAAGTAATATAATAATATATTTCATTAAGTTTCAAAATGATTAATCATTAATGAAACATGCAAATGTAGCACCCAGATAATCAGTCTAGAAGGTAATGAGCTTACGTTGAAAATCAAATACTTGAAAGGATATCAGAAGTCACTGTCAAAATCTCTCTCACGATTTCACAAGCTCACACGGATTCTTGCACGTTGCAGCTTCTAGCTTGTGCTTGCTTGGGACTTGGCTCCTCGCGCTCATTGTAGTCATCCTCTCTGCTCTGTTGCTTCTCCCTGGCAGCTTCATGGAATAGCCATTAATTTTTATTCACCACCACAAGTATTATTCTCTCTCTCTCGGGGTTTTCTTTTGATCGTTAACATCTCTTGGCATTAGCATCATAAGCCTAGCCTTGTGATATGTAACCATCATCTTTGTTAACATGATGCCTCTAAAAATTTCGCTAACCAATCATTTCTCACCTTTGCGTGTTACTCCAAAATCAATGTCGTTAGCACAAATGTTTAAAATTACACAATTAAGTATTGGACAATTTTAGTTCATAAGGCAAGGTGTAAGCCTCGGGGCAGTCTGATACATAAGGCTCACGGTTTGAAAATTGCATAAAGTGAAAGGAGGAAAAAATAATATATTAGCTTTATAATTTATAAGTGTATTGAATAAAGATATATTAACATCCTAACATGATAAAAAATGAAATAACAAATTGTGTAAGCTGCAAAATATCATGTAACAACTTGCAAAAAATAAAAAAATAATGTAAACATCAATCGATCAAACTAACATAAAACATTAAATGAAGGTAACATTAAATACCAAGACATAAGATGAGTTCAACATAATAGTTTTATCTCGCTTCTATTGCCCAAAATAATAAACATCCATAAATCTAAATAAGAACATAAAAAATAATCAAAAGTCCTCGGCACTCATCACTCGTAGAGTCTTCATTAGAGTTATCATCATAATGTATAGTTTTCTTCCATCGCTTATTCAATTGAGTCTAAGTTCTCACATTCTTCTTTCACATCTTCCATTTCAATCATATTTCTTTTTCCAATCCAGTAATAAAAGATAATCAATAAAAAATTAGAGCATTAATTAACATTTAAAATAATGTCAAATTCTTAAATTTTTATAAATACATTTCCTTTTTCTCTCTTATTGTTTAATGCTGGATGTATTAGCCTTATTTTATCAAGGAAATCAAAGCTTATATCTTATTGTAACTCAGATAATGTGACCCTATTGTTGTCATCTACAAATCATTTACAATTCACTCATCATGTTATGACATATATTCAACTAGTAGGAGATCGTTATCAACCTTCAAATTTTTTTCTTCAAATTTTTATGCTTTAATCTCTTATTGTATATGTTATACACTAAGGAATTTGATACGATTCTTGGCAAAAATTAGGGCAAATAATATTTTATTGGAAGAGCATCAAACACTCATGACGAATACAAAGAGAAGCACCTACAATTCAAAAGGTAGACAATCTCTCCTAATTACTACAATTTGAGAGATAGAAAATCTCTCTCAAACCCTAAACCAAAGACTCAACGCAATCTCATCATAGCCAACCCTAAATCTATTAGGATCTATTTATACTAAACAATAATAAATAATAAAAGATTCAATTGCTCTTAGGCTAATAAAAGACTAAATTGCCCATAAGCTAGGCCAACGTAACAATACTCCCATCCAAAAAAAACAACTTATTCTCAAGGTGGAAAAAAGTAAACTTCTGCTGGATCAAGCTCCTCCGCCTCCTTGTCGCACATTGTGACAACATGTAATGTAAGATTCTCGCAAGGGTGTCCTGAGGTAAATTTTTATTACACAATAAATATAAACCATTTGCCCGCTTCTCCTGAATCTGTCTCTGTAAGACGCTTGAAGTTGACCTCTGGATGGGCCCCCATATTCTTCTCCTTCGGCGCCTCACCTTGAAATGACATTATATGGGTCATTGGTGCCATGATTGTCGAGGTACTCTCGTGTAATTCTCATATGGTGTTGCTTTTGCTGGTCTTCTCCCTCTTGTTCTTGTCATCCAACATCCAGGCTAGCTCCATAGTCTCCCCCAAACTCCGCGATCTCAACAGTTGGGAATGTTACACGTATGTCGAGCTTTAAACCTTTAAGCCTTCTAGGCTCCATACTCCAATACTACTTCAGAAATCCCCCTCAATTGTCTCAACAAAATAAAAGTTCGACAAATTTTAAATTACCCCAAAATTTCACACCTCTAAGATTTCAGACTTATTATTTTTATAAAATTCTACATGTCAAAACAGTAAATTCGATATAAAACACTATATATCAATTTTGATTGAAATGGAAAATATAAATTCTGAAGTTGTAAGGTTGATTAATTTTAATTAAATTCCCTAATCTCCTTCAACACTGTTCTCAACCGACATATTTACATAATATTTAGCTTTTGATGCAACTGTAAGGGTGAGATTTTTACTCCAAAGCCTCTGAAACCCTCTCTCTGCTATTGGTTTCACAGACTAAATAGCTCACGCGAATAAACGACTCAGCATAGTAGCTAGCCGTAAACGGAAGAGAGCAAGCGGCAACCTAGGAGCAGCATGCTACAATCAAAAGCTTCAGGGAGAAATTGGCGAGTACAAAACTCTTTTTTACGCTATTCTAAACATTTGATGATTTAAAATTTATTGCATATTGTGGATGGATGCTTGTATTGAATGTATGAATGTAAGTTGAACTCTCTTAAAATACATGTGATGTTATGATATGCTATATGATACAAATAAATATATTTATGAAATTATTACTTACAAATATTTATTTGTTATGATTCATAACTATAATATATGAAATGTCTGTGATGAATATTTGATACATGAATGATGATTTAAATGTCACAAGTGATGTTATGAATAGACTATTACACAAGTGCTTACAAGTACACTATGTAGTGATGAGTATTCTCGACTCCTAGTATGCAGGTGGTGATAAAATTATATAAACTTTTATGATTAGATGGTAACAACATGGGGAAACATTGATATCAAGGAGACTATTGATAACTGTTATATTGAGGGGGGGGGGTCTGAACTTTATCAATAATTAATATAGCCTTTGGGGCAAGGTGATGACCCATAATATGGCAAGACATGGATATAATTTAGGCATATATATTGCACAAGTGACATTACTATGATGCTTTGATTATATGGCTGAGAACATTGCTATGCTTATGAACATATATATTGCCAATACAAATGTCTGTCTTAAGGAGAATCAAAAAGTACTGAAGGTCGGTCTCTTAGGTCAAGTGCAGAGCAAGAAAATCTGAAAAATATTTTGGGCAAAAATGATAATCAGAACATAACAAATGATGAAATCAAAGCAATTTAGCTACAGAGCATCATTCAAGTGATATCCCAAGTGGTTGACAAAATGACTGCGATTGAAAGATAATCCATAGTACAGGGTTCAGATCTAAAATTGGGGCAGAGTTGAATCGATGCTCGAAAATCTTTCAGACATTCAAGCCACATGCATTCAAGGGTGTCATTGACTCTACGGTTGCTGAAGATTGGCTACTGAAAATCGAAAAAAAATTCTAGATACTATGATTTGTTCGAAAAAACGAAGACTGTCATTAGACACTTTCATGTTAAAAGGAGAAGCAGAGAGATGGTAACAAGCACAATATGGCGAGAAATTTTAATTGACGCCACTTCCACAAATTTAGTGGGATGATATTTTCAAAGTCTTCAAAGATTCATTTATTCCGCATTCAGCCAAATTAGCGCTGTAAGATAAATTCTTCAATTCGACACGGGAGTCTAGATCAGTCATGCAATATGAGGTAGAATTCACTTCTTTTTTTAGATATGCACCTCAACATGTCAAGACCCAAGAAGAAAATGTCATAGAATTTTGC